TTTTACATGTAACGAGGGTTAAAACTAAGTACGAGGGCCATTTTAAAGACTTTGGAAGTCTGGGACAAATTTTGTGGAGAAGGGCCCTCAGAACAGAACTTCATAAATATGTTAAAACAAATGAATACTATTTATTAACTCAAGTTTGAGCAATACACAAACACAAGCGATAGGTAGATAATATAAAAATATGAATTTTAATATTTATAATAAATATAAAGAATGACAACTATTTTATCTGTTAAATGGCTGAGGAAATATTTTTAAAAAATAAGCTGTAAGAAAATGTTAATGAAAATATAGAATAATAAGTTTATATTAAACAGTTAAAATCGCTGTTGTCATAGTGACATTTTCCAATGAGATACCAAGTTCACGATTTTTTTCCCTTTTAATTGAGGCCCATCTAACCACTTGTACCCATTTGCTCCACCCCTAGTCTGGGTTTGCATAGTACAGGTTCTTTTCGGATATCCAAATGGAGTATCACTTATTTCTTCAAGTTAGTACCGCTTTCCATTATTTTTGTATTGGTGGCAGCTCAATCTGAATTATGCATAAAAGCAGAAAACTTGATACTCTACAAATTGTACGTATGAGACCAGTTTGGAGAAAGGTGAATGCCTGTACTCCTGGGTAATTTCAGCATTCCATTCACTGTATTACTTCGAAAGAAGAATGCACGTGTACTCCCGATGACAGCTTTTTATTCAGGAAAAGATGAAAACAAAATTACATTTCATTAAAGAGGAAATATCATCTGTCGTAGCAAACATAACACGATGAATTACGCTTTCAAAAAGACAAAACCTAAACCAGCGATTCTCAACATTTTCTATCCTATCCCATGACCTCCATTTTCTTCGCTTTCCTACCCCAATCTGAGTGTCAATATTCACTCCTCAACTTTCAAGAACACCCTGGCACAGAAAGTTATTTATTAAAGTTGCTCATAAAATTATTCGCTTTCATGAATTTCAATGAGAAATTTAAGGTAAGTATTATATAGGTCAATAATATTTTAATTTTCTCACCCCCATTATCAACCAGTTAAAATTCTAGTCTTCCTAGACCATCGATTTATTTCAAGGCTGTTATTGGATGTCATGTGCCACCTTTTATTATCTGTAATTAATGCAGTAATCAGAGCAATCGAATTACACGTATTGATATTTGTTACTTCTTTTAAACAATATTAGGTAACCAAAAATCATGATATACGACATATGTTATACACATATATATTGTATAAGAATTGTATATATATTACAAGCTGTTGGAAAGGGTAGCTCAGTTGGGACATAAATGAAGGGATAATGGGTAGTCTTTTCTATGATGATACCTACTGTTAAAATGAATACTTTCTATGGGGTAGGAGCCATCTTTGACTATGACAGGTGTATTTTCACCATGGCTTTTAACTAGGTAATCTGTACACTAATTTCCACAGATCCTAGTGGCACCAAATGTTTATTTTACATGGGGCGTCTGAGATCTGATTATTACCAATTGTCACAGTAGTGAATATATAGCACCTGCCCACCTATGGCTGTGTCTGGAGGAACATTGTAGGCATGACCATGCTTGGTGGGTGTCTACAGGTTCATTGCGGAGGTAGAATGTCCCTATTGAAAAGGACAGTGGCTCAGTGCATGATGAAATGGATGGTCTTTATACTAAAAAATAGTAAAAAAGTTTGCTTGTAAGTGCTGTTGCCGTGTTGGTGCTCTTCGTGTAATCAGAACTTCATGTGGGTAGCTGAAGAAGACCAGAAGATCCTTATTTAACAAATATTTTGTATCTTATCTAGCTGTGTAGCACTTATACTCATATTGACAGTGTACAATCAAGAACGGGGGAAATAAAACTAGTAGAGCATAAGGAGGTGATGTTCTTCGAGTCTATTTCTTGAAGCAACTTTCAGTGTATTAATGCTTCCAATTATCATAGTGTTAATTGGGCTGGTGAAGTTTTGTTGTCTGTTAAAGGATATCCTCAGGCAAAGGTCTTGCTAGGGCTGAGGCTACCCAAAATGTGCCTTAGTCTTCCCCGTAACTCTGCATCCAAATAACAATAATTAATGTTAAATTTGGTTCAGTTTCTAAATACTACAGTATATGTGCTTGCAAAATGTAAAGTGCATCTCCCTCAGTGTTTTTGTCTAGCTTACCTCAGCCCCCAGATACTTCAATTTTTCTTCCAGAAGAATGATGGTTCCCACACAGGATGGTGATAGTTGTACTCATCAGCATTTCTGTGGCTTTAGAAGGATTGATGCCCATTCCTGTGATATTGCATCATTTCCCCACCCCCTCTCCAACATACATCAGAATTGTTTCAGCAAAGGTTAACACACAGCATCTTTTTGGACTATTAAGATGGGCTGGTTCTTTGGTGTAGAGGTTGAAGATGATTAGTGAAAGTAAGTGGTGATCCTTAATCATTAAGGCAGACTAGTATTGATGGCAAACCAGTTTGATTGCCAGAATTCATTCCTAACGATTTATCTTCTGGTAATTAATGCAGCTACTACCCATCTTACAAATGTTACATTGATGCTTATTCTGATCATTTGATCAACAAGAATGGACAACTGGACATGTAGGCATCCTGCAGACCAAAAGCCATTGTCATGGTGTTCTGATCAGCTTCAAAGCCTTCCCATGTATAAGCTGAAAATTCATCAAGTTGATCCAAGTTTATTTTTTTACTGTGATAATCACCTAATGATGAGGGTAGTAGTGGTTCCATCTGATAGGCAAGCCTTCTAACTACAGCCTTCTCTGGAATCTTGCCAATGATGTTTTGTAGGATGATAATTTGATAGCTTTTTAGATGGGTAGTTGTATAGATAAACCACTGACAGAAGAACCACCATATCTGCTTTCATTCCTTATATGTTAAAGAATATGGAAGCATTTTTCACAAGCCCTACTGTGGCTCAGCAGTGAACTTGAGGGTTTATAATACTAAAAATTGGAGTTCAATACCGACGGTGGATCAGAGCAGATAGACCATTTTGTAGCTTTGTGCGTAAACATAAGCAAAATTTTTCACAAAATAAGCCCAAACTCTTTAGAAACATATGTATTTTTATCTTATATTTGAGCACTGTTACGTATTGGGAATTTGAAATAGTCTGAAGCCGAGTTAAGTAATTTAAATTTAGTAGTGAAATTGTACTTTGGATTTAGTATTTAAACAAATGTTGATATTTATAGTCAGTTTGTAATATTTGCCAACAAGATTGATACACACCGTCTTTGTTTTTAACTCAAATACGTTTTAATATACATACAACAGTACAATTTGCAATAACAATCATTAAATTAAATTATTACAAACAATGATTTATAAACAGAAGTTTCACAAACTTACAAACAATATAAAGTTTTCTTTGTAGTCTGGAACCTCCTTGATATCTTATCGAGGGTTCACGATAAGCGAGTTAATTACAAGTTGATGTAGATACGATCCACAGGGAAGCTAGTTAGCTTTGTCCTTGGCCACACACACACTAGATTTTCTACGACGAATTTATATGTCTTCATAAAATTACTAATGTCAGATGAGAATCCACTGAAGTTAAATTATTTGTAATGTTCGAAATTTATAAATATTCCTGGTCAGATATTATAAGTTTTCCGATTGATAAGTGTTATAACAATCACAGTTATAGCTTTCGAAGTTTTATAGCACACCCATATATAGCGAACTAATAATAGACACTCTCCTTGGCGCGTCGCGTTGGTTATATTTATAGCTGTGGGAACGTTTTCTAGAAATTTTAGTCTTACGTAACAATACTGGTTAAAGCGTTTACGTATATAGATATATTGTTGATTCTTACTCTCGAGAATCTTCTATAACTTTGGAGAATAGGCGGGAGTTTCGCAATACCTATCTAACAATATAAGCTATGTATGTTTCTAAATATAAACTTAATCTAAACAATGTTCATATTAAAATAAATACATAACAACAAATGTGTTACAGTACCTATGAGTGATTTTCATTGATGAATAGATAGAGCTTACAAATGCCTCAAATGATGTCATCTAAGCTAGTTACTGGTTGTATGAAACAAGCATTTTCTTTTACTTTTGAGTCTCTTCATAGTCACCATGAGCTTATGTGCATGCGTATTAATGTTATTTAATGAATTATATTCTATTATATGAGCAATGCTTTTGTAACTCAATCTCTAGGTAACTCATGAGGTACTGACATTGTTAGAAGTATAAAAGTAATACATACTTCTTTGTTTAGTGATCTGATAATCCTGTTTGGAAACAATTACTATTTTATAATCATATTAAAGTGTAAAATATGTAAGGAATGCTCTACTTGAAAGTTGAACAATAAGAATCATGAAATAGTTACATAGGATGGAAGATGAGGAAGAGATATTTATATATGATGACATTCAGAATGAAAACAGCTCCAATGAAAAGAAATCTTATTGAGGTTGATTCTTTTAGTGAAAACAGTTGCAAGGAATTTGTTTCATCTAAAGATGATAAGTAATAATAATTCCAAAGAAAGAGGTTCCTCTGGCAAAGATAATGACTCTCAGATAAATAAAAGCAAAACGTAGATATTAGAAGCAATTATTCTCTTATCCAAAATTTCCATGGTTTGAGATACCATTACAGGTCATAGCTAGTAATCTTAAAGCAGAACAACCATAGAATCTGGGAGGCTGCTACCTTTAAATATTGATATGATAGATAAAAGTAAAAATATCCCTGGTTGTTCAGAGATGATTTTATGAAAGCATAATATCATTTTTTAATAAGGAAACTAGAGTAGCCACTTCCTAGGACAATGAGGATCTCAGGCAAGCTACTGATATTTTTCAAGCGTAGTACCTAACTGATAATAACTTATACGTTTTTGAGAAGAGGATGACAGTCTATTTTCTGGATGTGTTTCACCTCCAAGGAAATCTGAAGAACAGGTTGATTATACCATGATTGTACAAGATTAATGCCATCATCTAAGGTTATTAGTTCAAGGGAAATAATCTCTGTAATTATAATTTATCATTAGTGAAGATGTTGCCTGGACTTGTCTCACCACCAATTAAATTAGCTGTCTAGAAGTACACTACTAAGAAGTAAATAGCCGTACATTTAACCAGTTTTAAGGATATTTATTTAAATAATTTTTCCCAGCTCAAATCTTTAATACAGTATTTGAAATGTACTTTAGTTTTTAAAATATCAATTTCCGAACATGAGTGAATCAACTCTTTTTTTTCATTTTCTTGAAAGAGAGAGAGAGAGTTATTTTTATAGTTTTTAAAACTTGGGTCAAAAACTATATTTTAAATATTTAAGAAAGAAAAGTTTTCTATCTAAAACTTAAAGATAATTTACAACTGTAGAAAAAGATTAACCTTAAAGTTCTGTGGGCATGCATGTATACATAGTAATCTGATATGCTGTAGGAACTTACCTTTGTTTTACCAAAAGGTAGATGCACCAGTATTGAATTTACAGTTTGTTTTTAATGTAATCGATTTTAAAAATTTTTGACATTTAATTAAGAGGCTTTATTATTACAATCAACTGATGCTCATAAATTTGTCATAAAAGATATTTAAGTAATGTCTTACAAAGCTTTATAAGAAGATGTTAAAAAATGCTTATATATAAGTTAATCAATTCTCATTAAAAGTTAAAAAATGTTCTGTTAAAACAATAGTCTGAAAATAAACCTTTGTAAAAAATAGGTTTTTATGGAGTTGATTTTTCTATCTAGTTCTTGCTTCGTTTTTGAACTCAAACTTGCAGTGTTTTTTGTTTCGTTTAGGAAATATGATGTAAAGCACTTTGTTATAAAGCTTCATCGAATATATGTATCTTATAATGCAGAGGATAAATGCTTAACTTAAAATTTGTGAGTCCTGTTATATTAAAGTTTAATGATACTACAGGATTAAAGTAGAATCCAACCATTACGATCACAGTGTTATATAATGACTGATATTCTTTGGTACATAAAAAAACATTTTAGATGTGATTTTTAATTTGGGTAAATAGCAATGTTTGTACCCTTTGTGAAATACTTTTTTAATAGAAAGATGTTTCTCTTTTGACCCCATAGCCTTATCTATTAAGAGATGTCCTTACTTCAGAAATGAGCCACATGGGAACATTGCTACGTACAATGGAAAGTGTTACATCTTCTACAATAGCCTTTCCATGACTTTTCAAGAAGCTAAACAGTTCTGTTCTACTCGCAAAGGGTCCATTATAGATGAAACTAGCCCATCCCTACAGGGTTTTCTTAGCTGGGAACTATATAAACGACATAAAAATGACCCAAACAGTCATTATTGGCTTGGAGCAGTTCGTGATCCCACAGATCGTAATAACTGGAAGTGGATCAGTGGTTTGTATTGAGAAATATTCTGTCGGGTTTTTATATTGTGGCATAAAGAGACATATATTTGCATTCATATGAAGATTAAAGTTTAAGTATGAAAATTAAAGATTAATTTTCAGCAAAACATTTTCTATAAAATAATACAAAATTCAAATACATTGCATTTAACTGTAATACTTCTTACTTAATGATCTTAGCTTAACATGTAACTCGTATATTTCCAATTACATTTTCTGAAGAAAAACAGAAAGAACTTACACACATATGAACTTTATATATGGAGTGTATTAAATAGTTTTATCTCCTTGCTTTGTATTATAACTCATTTTCTTATAAGTTGGATGTGAATGTCACATGAAATTATAAATGTAAATAATTATCAAAGATAGATTTATTTCATTATAAAGAACATTGTTTTCTTGCTCACATTTTAATATTCTCATCAGGAAAAGATGTAACCATCTCCTTCTGGAATTTACAAGAAACAAATGAAAACTGTTCTCAATTTGATGGTGCTAAGGGTTGGCTGTGGTCTGACACAAACTGTAATCATAATTTGAATGTGATTTGCCAGTATAGTAAGTCTTTTTTTATCTACTTGTCACTTACTTTGCAAATCCAGTAACAACAGTGTTTACATATACAGTTTTATAATTGGTATCTAAATAGTTATGAAATACAAATTGGTTGGATTTGAAGTACATTTCACAAAATATTATTTGTGTCGAGGTTATAACTACAATCTCAGATTTTAAAAAATATTAATTATTTTAGACACGTTTAATAATACTGTAAAGTTAGCCTATTAATTGAAAAAAAAAGAGTAGCAAAACAAAGTACTGATGTAATGTAATTAAATTTTCAAATTTACTAGATATGTGATAATTTATAGCCATAAGAAATGCAGTTATAATTCATACCTTTCTGAAATAATGTTGTTTTATAACTTTTAAAATTAACACAAAAAAGAATACTTCAAATGTGTAAAAAATAACCATTAACAAATTACAGCAGAAAAGTATTAATATAGTTTATAAAAATTTTAAATCATATTAAACTTATATTATCTTAGAGAGTAGTTTGATAGATTACAAAAGTTTGATAATTTGATACCTGATTTCATGTAACTATCTGCCCAGACAGAAGGTTAAGAATAATTGTACAATGTTTTATGAATATAATAGATATCATAAAGCTAGAAAATATGTGCTTCTTTGTTTTGAGTTAATTGACATTTTGGTATGCTTGTTTGTTTGTTTGAAGTTAAGCACAAAACTACACAAAGGGCTATCTGTGCTCTGCCCACCACGGGTATCGAAACCCAGTTTCTAGCATTGTATGTCCGCAGACATACAGCTGTGGCACTGGGAGTGACATTACGGTATCATGCTGAGACTTACCAAGTTTTTGGTATACGCTATATTAGTTATTTATTGTTACTTTCATTAACAGTATTAGTATATATAGTAAACTAGTATATCAAATGTCATTGTTTTTTTTATTTATTGTTTATTATTTTACTTTTATTACAATGATTATTTTGCATTGTTAGCTTAAAATATATATTTAGAACTAACCTAAATCTTCTAAGCTGGTTGAACCTCAGCAGACAATATTTGGATTACAACTGAAAATATCATTAACAGCATGGTTAGTTAACTTATGAAATAATGCATTCTAATCTTTATAAGTAGAAACAGAAGAAAAGCATATTTAATGAGCTATACTGTTGTTGAGATTGATTTACAGTTTTACTCTAAGTATAGAATACTCTGATTGGAAAATTAATTATTATATGAATATTTTATACTTAATATTTAGAATCTTTATATTCTCTGTAGGACCAACTACATGCCCAAAACCTGCAAGACCTACCAACTCAACAATATTGGCAAGAGATTTTAAAATAGGATCAGTTGTAGAATACACATGTTTAACTGGCCATATTCTTGTAGGACCTAAAATTAGGACCTGCCTTCCAAATGGTGTCTTCAGTGAATATCCACCAAAATGTATCTGTAAGTTGAATTTTTGTTAGATGCAATGGTTCTCTAAGGAGCAAATTACCAATTAATTGTAATTGAAAAAAGAATAAGTAAACAATATTTAGCTAGACAAAACTGATCAATTATTAATGTAATGTTCACATTAGTTCTTAATATAATTTGATCATCAGTTCTTAGTATCATATGAATATCATAATTTCTGTGAAAGCTTAACTTAAAATGTTCAGTATGACCAATATATGGTGTTTAAAACAACAACTTAGAATATATAGTACTGGGTTACCAATTGCATAATCTTTAAAACAGCAGCTTAGAATATACAGTACTGGGTTACCAACTGCATAATATTTAAAACAATAACTTAGAATATATAGTACTGGGTTACCAACT